TATATATATATATAGGGTACAGCATAGCTGATTACTAGAAAACTAGAAAACCAAAAATAAATACATATATATCAAAGTAATAACCAACAAAATAAAAATAATTAAACTTAACATTTTGATTCTTGTTCCTCAAGAAGCCTGCGCTTCAAGGTGCATTTAAAAGATCTATTAGATTTCAACTGAAAAACATCTGAAAAGCAATTATAAATTGTAGGTGCTCTGTACGCAAAGCTACCACAAAATTTAGCAGATTTATGTTTGGGAATCGTCAACAACTTCGTTTGTCTTAGATTAACATTATGTATTTGCGATCTTGGTACTAAGATACAATATAAATAATAAGGCAATTTGTAAAATATTACATTGTATAACATAACAGCTAGCAAGAGTGTACATCTAGGTTCCATTTTTAAGATAGAATATCTTATGTAATAGGGGGTAACATGTTCTCTACGATCAATCGAGTATGAAAACCTAAGTCCGCTGTTCTGAAGTATTTGAATACGATTTTTTAAAGTAGCTGATAGAAAATTGTAGTAAACGTTACTACAGTAATCAAGTTGACTTAGAATTAAGGAGTTAACAAGTCTCCATTTCAATTGTGGTGACAACAATGACTTAAATTTATATAACGATTTTAACTTATAGTAGCACACACCAATTTTCTTATTTACATGTTCCGCAAAATTAAGATTACTGTCGACAGTAAGACCTAAGTTGTTGGTCGATTCAGAGAACGCTAAGACAGTTCCATTGAGGTGTATAGGAACCGATAAATTATCGATTGCTCTTCTGCGAATGTTGGCCGACCCGACACACATACATATAGTTTTTTTCGCGTTAAGAATTAATCCGTTAACAGAACACCACTCACAAATATTCTTTAAATCAGAGTTAAGCAAGCGCACCGTGTCATCAACACTGATTATTATCAGTGTTGATGACACTGATAATAATTGGCATCGTGGGAGTAAATTAGTATGATTCAGGTGATGTACTAGCTGTGAAGCAACAATCTTCTCTAATATTTTAGATAAGATAGGTAACACACTAATCGGTCGTAGGTCTCCTAGTGACGTAGCATGGCTCACTTTAGGTAGAGGTGTTACTAGAGCGATCTTCCATTGTTTCGGATAAACTCCGTATATTAGTGAGAAGTTCATTATGTGAGTGATTTCTTGGAGGCAGTACTCCAATACAAGTTTTATCATTTTCAGATCGATTGCATCCAAACCACAAGCATTTGATTTTATCGTGCTAAGCTTATTTTTGATGTCTGTGTCGTTCACCACATCGAAACCAAAACAGTCGTTGCCACCCAAAATATATGGTTTATTAGAATCAAGGTTGTGCAACGACAAAAAAGGTGAAGGAATAATATTAGCGAAATAATCATTTATTAGCTCTGGATCTTTAAGTGATTCGTCGATTGTCTTGGTGTTCTTTGAGTGCACCTGATTGGTGTGCAGTAAGTGCCACAATTTTGAGGGATTATTGACGTTACTATTTATCTCTGCCTCAAAAAAAGCTTTCTTTTCGTTACGTATTGCCAAAGTGACATAGTTTCTGATATCGGTATAGTACCTTCTGTGGTTGCTACTACCAGTACGCGAAAACTTTTGGTAAGCTTTTTGCTTTAATTTGATCATCTCTTTGATCGTAGGGGTAATGTATGGACGTGATTTTCGAGTAACAGTGAAATCCTTCACTGGGGCATGCGCATTGAACAAAGAGATTATTAATTCATTTAGAATTGTAACCTTGACATCAATGTCCTCCGTCAGATACACATCACCCCATGGTAGATGGGATGCATGCATCTCAAACAGTTCATGGTTGAAGTACTTATAGCTTCTGCAAATAAATCGCTGACATTGTGAGCGTATACCAGGAACATCAATTCGACAAAAAATACATTTATGATCAGTCGAAGTTAACATATCTCTCGCACCAGCTTCGAGAGCCTGCGCTCCAATTGGTATACAAATGATATCAATTAGTGATTCAGTAGATTCCGTAACCCTTGTGGGACATTTTATTACTTGTTTTAAGTTGAAAATGTCGAGTATGGGACTTAGTCCATTTACCTCTGGATTTGCATACGGAAAGAATCGAACGTTCGCATCTCCAACTAGTATAACGTTGTTGAAGTCAGTATTAATTGTAGATAGGACATTTTCAAGTTCGACCAGACATCCAATTCCAGCGGATGGGGGTCGATATATTAATCCAAATGCATAGGTTTCATAACAGTGCGTAAAACCCAACCATAACTGCTCAAGGTCCGATTTGAATCCATTTGATACAGCTAGTTAACGAAAGATGGCGCTAGTGCGAAATTAGAAATTTAAAAGTTAATTCATGAAACCTACTTGTTGTAAATGTTAGTTACTCCAAAATAAATTTACTTTAGAATTAAATTAATATAATATAAATATATCAACGATAAAATTCTAAAAATACACAACATAGGGTTCGCATTTTAAATCTGGTTACCATAGCAACCATTTAATTTTGATTACAACAAATACATGTCATTGTGGGACATAAGCTTCTCAAAAGTTATTCAAGAATGGAACGAGAATTAAGTGGAAGAGCGTCTTCAACACGACCCCCATCAGGTATTTCTATGCCAAGAACAGCTTCCGTGGTAAAAACACCCATTAAAATATAAATCTACATTCTTTCAATAATAATCATTTTCAGATGTCAAGACCGTTAACACAACAAGGTTTAACGGGGTTAAAACCATCAACAGCAGGTGGGCAGCGTATCTATAAAGATAACCGTTTCTATTTATCTAAACTTCAATCTCAAAACACCTCTCTTCGTGATGAAATCGCAAGATTAAAAAAGTTAACCGATGAGAATAAAATGAAAACATTAAATTTGGACGATTTGCATAAACAAGCTCAAGAAGCGGCTAAAAGAATCGAGGAAAAACAAGAATTATTGTCAGCTTATAATATTGCTTTAGAAATGCACATTTCGAAAACGAAAGAGGACGAAATTTTAGGGGAGATAGAAAAAATGAAGCGAGATAACGATTTAAAAATGAAAGAACTCGATGGGGTCTTAACGAAAAAGATTCAAATGCAAGAAAAAATTGATCGGATGGAAAAGGAACAAGTTCGTAAAGAAAATGCGATTAAAGAATTGATTGAGTTGTTGCCCGAACAACAAAAAGAGGAATTTTTTGATCTTCAACGTCAACACGAAAAGGTGCTAAATGAAATTCAAGAGTTACAAGATGAAATTAAAAAGGAAAAAGACGAAAATGATAAATATAAAACGATAATATCGGAATCTCCTGAGCTGCAGGAACGATTTAAACTAATTCAAACAATCCGTAACCTCGAACATCAAGAAGAAGAGTTACAAAATTTCTTATCAAACACTCAAACACCCGCTCAACAAAGAGAAACCCTTCTTCAACAAGTCAAACAAGACAAAGCTGATATCGAAACATTACAAAAATTATTGGAGACACTCGAACAAGAAATCGTTCAAATGGAAGAAAAAATTGCTGAAATCAATAAAGAACTCGAAAATAAAGATAGCGCACGTTTAAAAAAACATAAAGAACTTCGAGAACGCGAAGCTCATATGGACGCTTTCATTGAATCTTACGATGAAAAAGTTTCAACAGCAAAAGAAAAACTTACCCAAGCCAACGATACGGTTATTTATCTTTTGGATCAAATGGTTGAGAATTTGGCCGAATTCAACATAGAAGAGTTTGGGATGACTCAAATTGATTCGAACGATCAAAGCTTGGAAGGTTGGAATAAAAGATGCGGAGCCTTTCAGGAACAAATTGCGAAATTAACGAGGTTTAGCGAAAATTTTGAATCAGAATCAAACCGTATCGAAGCTAAAAAAGCTGAAATGTTGAAAGAAATTGAGAAAATGTCTGATATTGAAAAGTGTAAAGAAGAAATGGCGAGGGAATGTACCCTTTTGGAGGACCAAAATCAATTGCTCCAAGCGAAGTTGGAGTCCACGAAAGCGGCTCTTAATGAAGGGTTAAGACGGAAAGATGAAATTGAGGTGACTTGAAAAATCAACCAATATAATTAATAAATATTCTTTTATTTTTTTAGAAAAAATTAGAAGATAATCCTACTTATCATGATGTGGTGGAAATTCAGAAAAAAATTGAAGAACTTGAAAGCAAAAAGATGGAAATTGAAAGTACTATAGAAGCTGAAAAAAAGGATACTTCACTTGAAGACGTTATTAATGGGGTTAGGGCTTTAATGAAAGAAAGAAACGAACAGCTCATTAATGAATTAAAAAATAAGATAAACAAATAGATAAGATTTATTTTTAATTTCATTCAACGTTATTTTGTGGTTAATAAAATAAACACAACTCGTTTATAATAGATTCTTTATGTTAATTAACCACACAAAAAAATTATTTTTATACAAAGATTAGTTTTTGTTCATAGTTTTATTAGTTTTGTTGCTTTGTTAAAATTTGGAACGAATTTAACATCAATCATCCAGTACAATCGGGTTCTTGTTTCTTGCCAAGAAAAGTTTTAGCAGAATCGAATGCGAGCAAAAAAAAATTAAGTGTTCTCGACAGCGAATTTATGGACAGTATCAATTTGAACGAGGAGCGGAAAACGCGACTCCCACTCTCGAAAAATCTGTTCTTCGTTGCTGTTGGCGTCCCCTCCGGCTTCATTATATCATTTGCTGTTGTATACTCTAACGATATCAAAACTAACAGAGAAAAAAATTTGAAAAAAGAAAGTTCCAAGTTGTAACAAAAAATTGATTTCGATAAAAGTTTTTTTAATAAAAGTTTAAGTAGTTAATTAAGGTGGTGTTTTAGTTTGTAACGTTAAATGTTGTTTGTTGATTAAAGGAAGTAATTTAGAGCTTAAAGGTAAGTTGTTTTTATTTTAAATTTAAAAAAAAAAATGTTAACAAGTGGTCACCGTCAATGTCAAAAGTACAAATGAACCATCTGGTTTAAATCGAAAATAGACTCTACTTAAAATAAGCTTTTATGCGAATAACAATATCTTTTAAAACTTCAAATTCTTTTGCCCCTATATATACTTATTCTTTTTCCCCCCTTTACAATGGCTTAATTCTCCCTTTTTTAATGAACAATAACTTTAAGTGCCGCATGTGGGAAGTGTTTCACTTCGAAATGACTCACATTAACAACAAACTTCTTGTGATAAACATGGTAAAATGAAGTGGCATTGAATGGACGTGGGTTGAATTTAGATTATTTTTAACAGCAACGTCACCAAGTCAATGTAATTTCACTACATTTTTCAAACAAGATTTTTTTGTTGAAGAGTTTTAAATTTCATTATTTAAAAGGTTCGCACGGATGTTGTATTGCATTCTCAATGGTCTCGCGTGGGAAAATAATTCAGCGTAAAATCCAATTATTTATTTGGATTAAGGTCAAATGTAAAAAATGTTTAGGGATAAAGTTTTTTTAATGATTTTAGTGTTTTAATTGTACGAATTATTACAAAAAACTATAATTAATAGCTATTTATATATACCCGTGCGACGATAACAACAATAATAATAAAGATAATGATAAAGTGGTGGCGACAACCACACTCATCATATCAGCCCAAGAATGCCTTTAACCAAGCTGATTCATAGTTATACAAGAATAAACTTGTTACAAAAAATATTAATTTTTTAACATCAATATACAGGATGATTCATAAGTAATGGGCCAAATTGTAAATGTACGTTCAGGAGGCCAAAATAATAATATTTTCATTAACAATAATGGGTCTTAGTCTGCTCCTTACTGAGATACAGGATGTTAAAGCGAAAAAAATAAAATAGATTTTTGTTAATAGATCAGCTACTTTTCTACATAATGACTCATAGTTGACTTATAGTTTTTGTAAGGGTAAACAATAATGTGTGAGAGGATTTGAGTTAACTCGTAGATGTCGCCACATGCGCCATATGAATTA